ACTTTCATAATATACATAAAGTAAAATACCTAATCAATAATTTATATTTTTATGTGTATTTATTAGTCCCTAGATAAAGTAATAATGGAAATGAGTACATGTGAAGAGCCACGAGCCCCTAATGGCCCTTCACCGATTGCAGCGGTTTCAGGACAAAGGTAAGCGACTTCCATTAATCTGTAGGACTGACTGGAAATTCTTCTCTGTTGTCAGCTCTGCTGCCTTCAGTAATAGCTGCATAAAGAAAATAAAATCCCCTGACCTTAAAAGTTCTCTCTCTTCAGTCAATTTTCTCATCAAACAATTGTCTTTGTTTTATATTGTGTAACAAACATAGCATTTCTCACGTGGAGTCAATCTGTAGCTGAGATTCCAGGCTAAAACGTTCCGCTCTCCACATGGAACTTCTGCAGTGGCACTGGCCTTGGGTCCCAGCTAACAGAGAAACAGAGAGAGAAGGTGACTTGTTGCAGGTGTTTGTGGTTCAGGCCTGCTGGGCACACCAAACTATTATACCTCCCTCAAGAAAAGCTGAGAAACATGATGTCCTTGTAGCCTCCAGTCTTTCTCCTCTCCGACCTTCCTCTGCAGTGCATCTGATTATGTAGATGCTTTGCCTGGCCCATAAGGCCCTTCACATCCGGCTCCTGGCAACTGTCTTCATTTATTGCCCTCTTTCACATGAGCAGGGTATCACAGACTGCATCATACTTTCTTATGTCTCTATGTCAGGGCCATCAAACTTTCAGTAACGGTTCACATAACAAATATTTTTGGCTTTGCAAGTCAAAGGATCTCTGTCACAGTTACTCACCTGTCGTCATGAAGCGTGAAACAGTATAGATATTAAGTAAACAAGTGAACATGACTATCTTCTAGTAAAACTTGGTCTATGGAAACAGATGGTAGGTGAACTTGGCCCATAGATTGTAGTTTGCTGACCTCTGTACACATACACTTAAAACCATGGCAACCTTTTGAGGCAAGTATTAGTTCCATTTCAGGAACAAGGGAATGGAGGCTTAGAGATTTTAAATGGCTTATTAATAATGTACCAAATTGTAGTTTTATTTGATAAAATATGTCAAGCAGTGTACTATTTGCTTACATTATTTCTTATAATGCGTGTATGAACTAAAAATATTGCTTGATTTAAAAGATAAGTCATCTGAGGCTCAGAAAGTTTATGCAATTTACTTATTCATTAAGATAGTAAATTATTAAGAGGCATAGTAGCCGGTGTAGGGAAGTCGGTGGATAAAGATGACTTGTTCACTTTAAGACAGTTTGAATTTGAATTATATGGGAGTCATTTGGAACTCTTTTTTTTAATAAATTATTTTTAGGGGGGCCCTTACAACTGTTTCATACATCAGTTGTATCAAACAACTCTGTGCATCATCGTTTTAAAAACATTTTCTTTCTGCTTGAGCCCTTGGTATCACCTCCTCTTTTTGCCTTCCCTCCCCCACCCTCCCATCTTCATGGACTCCTGGTAAATTATAAATTATTACTGTTTTCATATCTTACACAGTCTGCTGTCTCCCTTCACCCATGATTCTGTTGTTTGTCCCCCTGGGGTGGTGGGGGTGGTGTGTGTTATACGTCGTTCATTGTAGTCGGTTGATCATTGTAGTCGTAGCCACTTCCCTGTTTCTCTCCCTTCCGCCCCTACCTTTCCCCTACTCCTATGGTATCGCAGCACCTATTACTGTTCCTGAGGGGTTATCTCTCTTGGATTCCATGTGTTGAGAGCTCTTATCTATACCAATGTATATGCTGTGGTCTAGCTGGATTTATAAGTTAGAAGTGGGGTCATGAAAGCGAGGGCGAGAAAGGATTAAGGAACTAGAGGAATGTTGTGTGCTATGCTGCACTGGCTGACTCGTTCCTTCCTTGTGACCCTTCCGTGAAGGGATGTCTAGTTGTCTACAGATGGGCTTTGGGTCTCCACTCTGACCCCTATCATTTGCATCGATGTATTTGGGGGTCACCTGATACCTGATCCCGTGGACACCTCGTGATCACACAGGCTGGTGTGCTTCTTACATGTGGGCTTTGTTGCATCTTATTAGATAGCTGCTTGTTTAACTTCTGGCCTTTAATACCCCAGATGCTATATCTTCTAATAGTTGGGCACCATCAGCTTTCTTCGCCACATTTACTTATGCACCCATTTTGACTTCAGCGATCTCTCATTAATTTCTCTTAGCTATATTAGGTTTGATTAAACCCTTGATCAGGCATTCTACGCCCTCCTTGGCCATCGGTTTTAGATCTCTTATTGTTCCCTTGTCCCCCTCCCTTTCTCCCACCTCCTCCTCTACCACGTCCCCCGGGAGCTGTCAGCCTTGTTGTTCTCTCTTCAGGATTGATTATCCTTATCAAAACTTTTTGTCTTGAATGTCAGTGAGTGATCTGGGTCAGAGATGATCATTTAGAATTAATGGGCATATTGTTGATAGTTGAAGTACTCTCCCAATTTGGCAAACTTTTCTCCACCTTTCCTGCCACAATTTATGAGTGGGCTTTAAAAGTTCATGGAAAAATTGAATGAAAAGGTAGTGGAATTTTTCCACAAAGTCTTTGAAACCCCCTCATATGATTAGTCTATATTCTTATCATACTATACTACTTGGTGTTCTCTCAACAAGACTTGTACTGTCTGGTTCTCTGTGTCTTTGCTTATGCGTTTCTCTAGTCTAAGATTTTCCTGTCTTCTTTCTCCCGACAAAAATCCCATCCTCCTTGCATAGGTACATTTCTTCATAGTTAGAAGCACTTTCTTCCTCTCTCCACTCAGTATCCTGTAGATTCGTTGTTAAAACAGTTACAGACTCTCTTTTCCCTAAATAGCTTGTGAGCCCTCTCATGCTACATCTACATTTTTATTTCTTTTATGTCCCAGCATCATTCCATGGTAGATATGCAATAATTATTTTTAATTGAATTATAGAATGTGAAATATTTCTTATCTATTCCTAAATTATTGGATATATCCTAGTTGAACACTAGTTTTTTATATATATTGAACATTTAGCTTTCTTAAGTTATGTTATAGACGCCAGTAGTCTAGACTAATGCTTTTATAAAATAGACAGATTTGTGCGTACTGATTTTAATAACCAAATTTAGTGAGGAATTTCTAATTGCAATCATTTATCTTTTTGAGAATAGCATTTTTATTACCTACATACAACTATATCATTTTTAATAAAAATCTTATTTTAAATCAAAATGCATAGTATATGATAAATTATATGTGTGTTTGTTTAAGAATATTAACATAACACTTTCTCTTTTAAAGATTAAAGAACAAAAATGTAAGTGTGTTCTGTGTTGTTTTGCTTTGTTTTCCAGTGAGTATGGTTTTGCTGAAAAAGTAGTCGAGGGCATTACTGTGTCTGTAAACTCCATTGTCATCCGAATTGGAGCCAAAGCCTTTAATGCGTCTTTTGAGCTTTCTCAGCTGCGGATATATAGTGTAAATGCTAACTGGGAACATGGAGATTTAAAATGTACTCGTATTCAGGATCCACAGAGAGGAGAGGTAAAAAGATTTTCCTTTTTTCCCCCACCTTTAAAAATATTTGTTTATAATCAAGATGACATTTAAAATAATAACATCTTAAATGTGCCAATTTCACGTGGTGTTAGATTAATCTTCCTTTTTAACTATTTTCTCTGTATTGTTCTTACAACCATTTATTTTGAAATGTTCATGTTTTAACTGTTTTTTACTGTAGTACATCTTTCAATTTATAGAATTAATGAGTCCTTTTTATCTTCTTAGCTATTTAAAATTAAATTTCAAATTTCAAAAACTGGAATATATTATTTAAATTCTTAGCCATATCATTCCAAATCGCCTTGTACTTTATATTAATTCAATTACTTAGAATAAAAATACTGCCAGATTTCTGTATGACAAGTGTAATTATAAAAATGTGCTGTAGAATTTGATTTAAATATATAATTAAAAGTTTAAAACATGGTAACTAGATCTAGAATATCTTATAAAACATCTTTTAGATGAGATTCCTGTTGTTTTACTTGTCTTTTAGTTTTTACAGATCTATATTTTCCTCATATTTTTTGGCCTTCATTTTGGCCTAAATGAAGCTTCTTTCTGTGCTTGCCTTAGGTTTTGACATTTAAAGAAATAAATTGGCAGATGATTCGGATCGAAGCAGATGCTACTCAAAGTTCACATCATGAAATTATGTGTGCTCCCGTTCGATTAATAACCAATCAGTCAAAAATCCGAGTCACACTGAAAAGAAGAGTAAGTCATCAGTGCCACTTTATCTATCTATCTATCTATCTATCTATCTATCTATCTATCTATCTATCATCTATCTATCTTCTATCATATTAACCAAAATAAATTGGAATTGACCAGGAATTTCAAAATCCTTGGGCGAGATGCTGGTTGCTAGTTGCCATCTAGTCATCTCCAACTCATGGCAGCCTGATCCAAGAGTTTCATAAAGTTCATGGGAAAATCCCATTACTTTTAAATTTCACATTTTCACCTTTTGAAGCTCCCTCAGAGAGAGAAGAAAAGGAAACATTACTCAGTCCTGTGCCATCTCCAGGATCTTTGATTAAGCACAGGACAGTGGCCTGTTAAACCGGGCATGTCAGGGAAATGTCCAAGTAGAAAACCAGTCCTCTAGGCTTATTACTTAATTTTTTCAAAGATTTTTAGTTATAATCATTTGAATATATTTCTCTGTTCATGGATATTCATTAAACATTTATTATCTTACATGAAGAAATAAACAGCTAATCAGTCCACAGAACAGTACAGAAGGTTCAATTCAACTCACTTTCATGAGACAGTTAATACACTGGCAGTCCCTCAACTCACGAGGGCTGCTGGGTGAAAATCAAGGAAGCAGACAGCTGACTCTTCTGTGGAGCAATATCTGCAGTCTGGTCACAGGCAGCAAACAGCAGAGCAGGTCACCAACAGTCAGCTAGATGACAGAGGCCGACTGTCCTAAGCTCAAGTGATGTATACACCAGCAATGTGGCGAAGCAGGTCTTGAAGGAACCTCAAACTACAGCAACACGGTCCACGGGTTGGGTGTCCCACAGGTAGTGTAGATCGCAAGTTGAGGCAGAGAACTAGCTAAAGCAGCTGCACACTGGTCCAGCCATCAGAGAGCAAGAGACAGAAAGGTAAGGCTCACTGAGCCATTTATCTCTTTGCCCTTCAATTAAACTACAACCTTATTAATTCCACATGTGTTTATTGGCCAGGTTGGCACAATAAACCTACCTATTAGAATCCACCCCTTGCCATCTTGGCACCTATACACAATTCTTTAGCCATATATAATTTCCAGACATTAATGAAATCACACTTAACATCAAACATCGATCATACATATAAATGAAAACACATGAGTTGAATTGTATCTGATACATCATACATGAACAAAGGAAAGATATTCAGTAAGCACATATAAAGAAAACAAACCGACAATCACAAACCTTACTTTTTCAATTGATCACGTGGTCGTAACTGATAGGTAAAACTACCTTCTTCTACTACCCATTCTGTATTACCTTCACCCTTGGCAAGAACCTTAGCTGGCTGTGTTTTTTTGCCTTGTTGGGTGACCCAGACCTTCACTCCTGAGGGGTCTGGGTCATTAGACGTCCTGTCAGGATTGGGTTGCTGTAATTTACCATTTACTTTAATCACAGGGTCTGGTAGTACTAAGAGATGGCCTACGGGATTTCCAGGATTCCAAACATGTTCTTCTTTACATCCGTTATGTAGCACCAGTCCAATTTCTCCTTGGTAATCAGGATCAACTGGTAACTAAATTAATAGGAAAGACATTGCCTAAGGATTTTAGAATTTTATATGAAGGGCTTCCCATACTGTTTGTTAAAAGTTTTATTATACTGTTGGTTAGAAATTTATCATACTATTTGTTAGAAGTTTATTAGAAAGTTTGTTTCTAATGAGGAAGTGATTTTTTTTAAAACCATGACCAAATTATAAGTCTCAAAAATATTTTTACACATTACATTGATGAAAATTGTATACCTAAACATATTCTGAAATATAAAGTAGTTAAGTGATATAACAGTTTATAATTAATCTTTATTTTCATTCTTTGGCTAATGCAAAATTAAATCATCACATGTATACAGGATATATGAAAGTTATTTATAAATAAGCGCTATATAACTTGCTGCCAGTTCTTGCTGGCATAAGAAATATACAGTCTTTCTCCACTGTATATCCAGTACCATCGATTATTCCTGCAATGTTACAGGAGGTAAATTTAAATAATAGTTGAATAAAGGATCCATATTTAATTCCATTAAGGATTTTTAAAACTGAATGTTATTAAGTGCATTAAGAATTTTATTTCTCTAGGAGGGTAAGGGGAAGGTGGGGGAGCAAGGGGGAACCGGTCACAAGAATCTACATATAACCCCCTCCCGAGGGGACGGGCAACAGAACAGTGGGTGAAGGAGACATCGGACAGTATAAGACATGACAAAATAATAGTAATTTATAAAGTTTCAAGGTTTTGTGAGGGAGGGAAGGTGGGGGAGGGGGGAGAAAAAATGAAAAAATGAGCTGATAGCAAGGGCTCAAGTAGAAAGAAAGTGTTTTGAGAATGATGGTGGCAACAAGTCTACAAATGTGCTTGACACGATGGATGGATAGATTGTGATAAGAGTTGAACGAGCCCCCAATAAAATGATTAAAAACCCAAGAATTTTATTTCTTGGTTTAATTTTGTAAATTATTTTTCCTGACAGTTAAAGGATTGCAATGTCATAGCAACAAAGCTAGTTCTAATTTTGGATGACTTATTATGGGTTTTAACGGATTCCCAATTGAAGGCCATGGTACAATATGCAAAATCTCTTAGTGAAGCAATAGAAAAATCAACAGAACAAAGGAAGAGTATGGCTCCTGAACCTACGCAGGTACGTTATTAACAGGAAAGCAAACAAATAAGCTGCTTTTGATTTACAAATCACAATGGTTACCTGGTGCTATTTTCTTTACGTGAAGTAGATCTAAGGCTTTGCATCCAAAGTGTATTTTTCTAGGTCTTTTATATATGTAGTATATATGTAGGATTTCATAGATTTAGTGTCTACAAAATTTATATATATAATATCTACATAAAATATCTACTAATTTTATAATGCATAAATAAATGTATTAATATCTGTACAGTGCTGATTTTGTTTAGTTCTCTATTAAGTCTGGAATTTTTATGACACAAAAGTACTTGGTATTATAAAACCCCTTTATAGTATCTTAGAAAATTATAATTTTAAAACTACTAAATTAAGGATCTCTATCATTACTATGAGTCAATTCTAACTCCTAATGGTAGAAGTGAGGAAAAAGGGAGTAATTAAAGGTAAGGCAGATGGGTAAATTAATAGCACAGAAAACTAAGTGTGTGAGGAAGTGCTGAAATTAAACATTAAACTGTTAAAATTTCTTGATGGCCAGGGCACATGGGACAGCATAATGAGCAGTTGTCACTTTCTTAAAAATTAGAAATATTATCAGATTGTTTGCAGGCAAAAGTTATGTTTAGTCTTTGCAACTACTGAACTCTGAATTTTTTAAAATGATCATCCAGTGGTGTCTCTGATAGCACTTTTATTTAAAAAACTGATGATTTTAAAATATTTTTATCTAAAACACATTTTTTGAAGATAAAAGATTTTGATAAGGAGTATTGTGAAGCCCCTTAAGTTTCTATAAGAAGTACTGTGAAATCTTTATTAGAGAAGTAGAGAGAAATATTTTACTATTGTATGCATTACCATCATAGATGTGAAGGCTTGCCAGGCGCGCGCTCTGGTGGCAATGGCAGGCCAGCACTGGACTGGGAGCCATGAAGTTGACTTCGAACCTCAGCACAAAGATGAGGCTCTCTGCTCCTGAAGAGACTATCACCCTCAGGAACCTGTGTAGATAGAGCCACTAGGAGTTAGAATCGACTCAGCGGCAGTCAGTTGGGGTTTTGGTTTCCTTAAAAGACGTGTATAGCTTACAATGTTATTCACAGTTGATAGTTGAAACTAAAAGGCGTTGACAAAGGGGCAATGATATTGCAGCTTACTTAATGTTTAAGTGAAATGGAATATAGATTAGGAAACTAGATAAAGATAAAGATTAGAAAACTTAAAACCCAGGCAAGTTTCTATAGTCCTACCAGCACAACAAAGCCAATGCTCATTTTGAGGTATTTCCTTAGAAGTCTCGCCTAGACATCTGCATTTTTTGGAGTTGTCGTAAGAAGCACGTACCCTTTTCTTCCATGTTGTTTGTCTATTTAGTTATTACTTTTCGTCATTCTGTCATACTTCATAGTGAATTTTGTTAACCGCTCTTCTATTCTTGAGTGGCATTCTTGAATGGCTTATTGCTATGTCACTTTAGTTTCACATAGAACAGTCTGACTTTTGAGATACCCTTGACCACTGTCTTCAGTCATAAATACTTTCTTGGCTTCCCCTTTTTTCCCTCTAGAATAGAAAAAAGAAGACTAAGTTGAATATTAAGATATGTTAAGATTGTTCAGGAGGCAAAGAAGCTTATAGTGGCACTTTTTTTTTTTTCAGAAACAGCACCCAGAAACCTGAAACTATCACTGTTAAGAAAAAGTTTGTAGGGAGATTGTTTCTGTTTTCAGTTGTATCAATATTTATATAGATGGAAAAGATAGAAACATACAGGAAGTATCTTCTTTTCAAATATTGCTATTGACTTAAGTACTATTCTGTTAAGGCTTTGAAAGTAGGTGGGAAAAACATAAGAAAGGTGGTCTTTCTTATAGCAAAGAGTTTATTGTGTAGTTAATTAACCAAAAAGTTTTGCTCCAGTCCCTAAATTTAAATTTTCACAGCTATACTCCATCTTTCCTTTTCTTTCATTACTTTGGACCTTAATACAATCCTTTGAGAAATTATTATTTACTATGCATACTTTCAAATTGATCATCAAAAGGATCATAGTTTTTGAGATGTAATATGTATCCATATATATGTACAGAATATGTGTATTTTGGTTTTCTGTAAATAACTAACTCTACTTTTATTCGTATGTTCTAAACTTTAAAAACAGTTGACTTTTTCAGTGGAAAAACTTGCTCTTCAGTTATCAGTCTCATGTATTATCTAGGTTATATGTCAGATCATCTCACCATATGCTGTGTTTTGAGAATCATTTTAGGCTAGGAAAGATTCATAGATTCTCAAGGGTAATGTAACAAAGAGGAAGTGCTGAAACCCTGGTGGGGACTGAGCATGATAGTGGGACGGGAGGAAAGTCAAGGGAAATAGAAGAAAGCTGGGAGGCAAAGGGAATTTATAGAGGTCTAGATAAAGACATGTAGATATGCAAATATATTTATGAGGAAGGGGAAATAGATCTATGCATATATTTATAAGGTTAGTATTAAGGTAGCAGAAGGACATTGGACCTCCACTCAAGTACTCCCTCAATACAAGAATACTTTCTTCTATTAAATTGGCATTCTATGATTCTCACTTTCTCGACACAACCGCTGAAGACAAAACGGGTGCATAAGCAAAAGTGGTGAAGAAAGCTGATGGT